AGGACGAGAGGTGACATGATAGGAGTGTTCCAATATCTCAGGGGCTGCCACAAAGAAGAGGGAGTCAAGCTATTCTCCAAAGCACCTGAAGGCAAGACAAGAAGCAACAGATGGAAACTAACCAAAGAGAGAAGCAACCTAGAACTAAGGAGAAATTTCCTGACAATTAGAACAATTACTCAGTGGAACAACCTGCCTCCAGAAGTTGTGAATGCTCCAACACTGGAAGTCTTTAAGAAGAGATTGGACAGCCATTTGTCTGAAATGGTATAGGGTTTCCAGTCTGAGCAGGGGGTTAGATGACCCCTAGATGACTAGATGACCTCCAAGGTCCCTTCCAACTTTTAATTATTATTATTATTATTATTATTATTATTATTATTATTATTATTATTATTATTATTATTATTATTATTATCATCATCATCATCATCATCATCATCATCATCATCATCATCATCATCATCATCATCATCTAGCCATTGCCTATCTACTTGCAGGATGAAGGCCTCTTCCGTATGTTTCCAACCAATCCTGACCTTTCTTTTGCCAATTGGGCACGCAATACTTGCTGATGTTGTTGATCCTTTTTGTTTTAGGTCTCTTTCGTGGACGCTTTTTTATCAAGTGGGATCCATTCTGTGACTGCCTTAGTCCACCCGCCATCAGTTCTTCTTGCTATGTGACCAGCCTATTTCCATTTCAGTTCTTTTACTCTCTTGATGATATCATATACCTTAGTTTGTTCTCTAATCCATGTGCAGGTCTTCCTATCTTGTCTTGTAATGCCGAGCATGTATCTTTCCATGGCTCTTTACGCCACTCGTAGCTTTTGTATTGCGATCAGGGCCTTGATGAGGTGAAGGGGCTTGTGTGGGTAAATGTAATCGTGGGCTATATCGTCGGACATGTATATATCCAGAAGGGTCTCCCAAGGCGAACAGGCCATGATAGGTACCCCAGACTAACACCGATCACATCTGCCAACCTGCATTGGACCAGCATGGCAGATTATGGTCTGTTCTATCATGAATTCCTTTTACAAAAAAAGCTAGCAGAAAATGGACATGGAAGAGTCCATCTGGGTAAACTAGCAAAATGGACTACATTATATCAACTGATAAAACCATATTCTCCAATTGTACTGTAATCAATCGTTTTAATGTTGGAAGTGACCATAGAATGGTAGAAGTGAAAGATAGACTGTAGAAAAGAGCATATGAAAATGATAAAGATGTCATAAAAAAACAAAAATAAAGAGCTGTTAGAGGAGAACAGTGATTTTGAGTTTAATTTATCAAATTGCTTTGCTCTATTGCAAGATTTGGAAGACATGAACATTACGGACCAAAATGAACAAATAGTCAAAAACATCCTTGAATCTGCTAGATCTATGCAGGGCTTTTCAACCAGTGGTACAGGTACCACCTGTGGTACATTGGCACCTGGCAGGTGGTACGCAACCATCCTAGAAAACTGATAATGGGGGAGGGGAATAAGCTGAACTGGTGGCAGCACCGCACAAGCCTGAGCAAGAGATGGCTGGAGCTGCAGGGCTGTCAGGGCTCAGCGGAAGCGCCAGGATCAACGCCAGGCTCCAGCTGGAGCTTGGCGCTGATCCTGATGCTTCTGCTGAGCCCTGAAGAAGCACCAATCAGCTGGAAAGCAGCACTGATCCTGGCACTTCTGCTGAGCCCAAAAGAAGTGCCAATCAGCTGGAATGTTGCAGCTTCTCCAGGGTCTTGTGATTTACATTCAGATGCTTGCCAACTGATTCATATTTATGACGGCCAGTGTCCCAGGGTCATGTGAAGTGACCAAAACCTGCTGCAACCACCCAGCAGATGGGGGGGGGAACCAAACACCCCTACACCACCCCTGCTGCCAATCCTCAACAGAAATGCTCACAACAATGAAAATCTCAGACAGGAGGAAGAGCACCGCTGGTTGGGCAGGCAGGTGTCTTGCTCGGCTGTGGCTTCGGGGGCACTTTTTTCAGTGCCATTGTAACTTTGAACAGTCACTAAGTGAACTGTTGTAAGTCGAGGACTACCTGTACTTTATCACTTTTTTCCTTTTTTTTTTTTTTTGGTCAAGTTTTTGACACCTTGCTAGGCGACTGGTGGTACTCGGATGTTGCCATATCCTAAAAGTGGTACAATGGGTGGAAAGGTTGAAAAGCCCTGATTTATAGCACTACTGGAAAATCACTTTGTACAGTCAAAAATCTCTGATGAAACTATTGGTTTAATGAAAAAATGATGGACAATGAAGAATACCGGAAGTTTTACTAATAAACTGGAGTACATTGAACTTTGCAAGACCATAAGAAAACGTATCCAAGAAGAAACACGTCAGTTTAACGTGAAGCTTGTGAAAAAGGCAATTGAAGAAAACAAAGGGATTAATAGAGCAAAATGCAAACTTATAAATACAAAAAAGGTTTTTGCACTAAAACGTGAAGATGGCTCTGTGTGTAGAACAAAGTATTAAATGTCATTATATATATCACAACAAACACACTTGTAAGGAAATCTGGAGATCTAAATGAGTTTGTTGTAGAGTAAATATATTCATGGAACTGGAAACAAAAGATAAGTAAAAGATAATACTTGTGCATATGTTTGAATCAGTCCGACTCCTGCCAACTGCTTGGATTAGTCCTTATGGTTTTCTTGGCAACATTTTTCTGAAGTATCTTTGTTCCTAGGCTGAGAGACAATGACTGGCCAAAGGCCACTCAGTGGGCTTCTGTGCCTAAGGGAAGGCTAGAACTCTCCCTGTTTCTAGTCTGCTATCTTCACCACTACATTAAACTAGCTTTCACTACATCAATACATACATTATTCACTTTTATCCTGTCTAAGGAAGCTCATGCTGTCCACCAGGGCAGTAACGAGGTGCTATAAAGAGTTGAAGAAAAAGTCTTCATCATGATTCAGTCCCACCCAGGAATAAACAACATAGTGACTGCTTTAGAAAGAAGGTTGCATTTATTGAAGAAGAGAGCCAGACAGGAAGATGGCTCTGGAAGAAAAGAGAGAGAGTACGTGTAGGGAGTGGGTTTTTATACCCTCTGGGGCTCTTGAGGTTGTTTCCTGTTCCTGTTTGAGGCTTTGTATTTCCTGTATCATGTATTTTGACCTGAGTCTGAGTGTGCCCCTTTGGCATCTGTGGGTTAATCCTATTATGTCCTGCCTTAGAGTTTGGGTGGGGTATGTAGATTTTAGGTATCTTTGTCTTCCTAAGCTTCTAGCTGGGGGCCTCCAATCTTCCTGAATGGATTACCACATCTGCATTTCTACAGAGCTGGTTTCTGCTTGAGGGAGGGAGACTTGGGGCTATTAAGAAAAAACTGGGCATGCTTTTCTGCGTCTTTAAGATCCTTTGAGGGAATGTAATATTCTGCCCTTTTAATACTTCTTTCTCTGAGGGGGTTGATTTCCCACAAAAGTAATTATTTTCTTCTGCCTAGTGATTCTAGCTCTTTGCAGCTGTGACTGGTGGTCTATTTTATAAAGCATAAAAGTGATGGATACCTGCAGCATAATGTTTTATTTGAACACATGCTTACCTGCCCAGAAAATGAATAATGATAATAAGGACTATGCCAGTGGCATTGTCTGGGTTAAAAAGGGATAGATAATATTCTGATAATCCAGTGCTTTGTAAATTCTCCCAGACCATCCATTGGCAAATGGGCAGTCCAGCAGCTAGTTTGCAAAAATTATCATTGTATGTTTTCAAATTTCCAAATCAGTCTACCAATACAAAACAATCAAAAATCCTTATGTGCAGTCATATATTTCACTTTAAGTGTTTCCATGACTAGTTTCTTAAACATTCGTGATCAAATAGAAAAAACAATTCCAATTTTTGCTAAATTTGCATGACTGCTTACTCATAGTTGCATTATCTCAGAGCTAATGAAATTAATTCAGTTTTCTGGACTTGCACAATGCACTCTGGACCAATCTTTAGATATCCCTGCTGAGTTCACAGCTACTCCAGTAAAATATGATGATCAAGTTTGTAGCACAGTGCTTTGTGCAGACACAAACTACTACTGGCTTAACACATCACATTAAACAAACTTTACTTGCCAAACACTGCTCAAAAGAAGCATACTAATAATAGTACACCTGCAGTGTAGCACTTTTCTATCAAAACTACTGAAAAGATTACTACTTGTGTAGTGTACAGTAATAGGTTCAGGGTCCAGCCAGTAGGTGGAGCTAAACAGGATGTGGAGCAGCGATCGCTCTAGGAAGGAATCAAAATAGAGAAATCGGCGGGGAAAGTGAAATGAGTTGGAAGCTGCGGGGGGGGGGAAGGGCTTGGGGCTTATTTGCTTCTGAAGTCAAGTTAGGTAAATATTTCCTTTGACTTAGTGTTGCTGCATGCTTTTTCTCTTTTCTCTTTGCAGCTTTTGCAAAAAGTGGTAATTGTGGGGGGATCAGTTAGTTATCAAATTTTCGTGCTGTTTTTATGCTTTGCTGCAATTGTGCTAGTAAATGGTTCAAAGGAATTAGGAAGGGAGACCATGCCTGAAGTAGGCTCCCGGGAAACACAACTAATATAAGTGATTCTAACCAAGCCAATTATATTCTGCTTTAATGTGATGATCTGATTCACATCTTCTGCTAAGGAAATGACTGAGTTCCCACAATAAGTTATTTTAGTTAAGACTGGTCCATTCTGTGAACCCAGCTACATCTTAAGACATATGTTGTGGGTTGGCTTTGTCCACCTGTTTTGGACTTTCCTCCACTGAATCTAATTCACTTTGGTAAATTGTCTGCATGCAGTTTTATACAGCAATGCATTGTTGAGTAAAGTGCTGTTTCTGTGCAGTGTGTATCAAAGCAAAGCCCTTATGTCATTCCTACATGATAAGGGATGTAATTCTGGGGACACAGGTGAAATATACTAGCAGGTCTCACTTATGATGCTAGAAACGATCCAATTGTCTGCCTTTTCTATCTAGTCTCATTCCAGGTATGATCCTTCATGCGGGGCTGTGTCCTGGCCTCTCGGATGAAATGGTGCAAGTATTAAAAGCCAATGGCATCAAAACAGGTAGTTGATTGGGTGGCTGAAGGAGCAAGTTGTCCCACAATTTAGGGGTTACATTGGCTATAGTGAGCAGAGTAGATTCTACAAAGAATCCAGAAATCTCTTCCAATTTTAATTTTTGTGCAGCTAGAAAGTGTAATGTGGTTGGAAGAATTAGCAGGGTGATTCAAAAGCTTTAAAGAAGGAAGAAGGAAATAATATATAATTTGGGATATTGAAGATTGCAATTATATGTTTCTAACTTTTGCAAAGAAGATCAGAAGTTGCTTTTATTGTTCACATTTTTTTTCATTATTTTATATTTGTTTTTTTCTATTTTTGTTTCTGAAGTTTTTAAAACTTAAGTAAAACATTTTAATAAAATTGCATTAAAAAGCTGTGAATGGGATAAACCAGATATATATATATATTTCAGCCTCCCCCCTTCTCATTTGTTTTAGGTAGAGGTATTGTAGTAGCTTTCACCAAAAGGGGGTCTTTCACATGTTTTGTGATGGCATTTCCCAGGAATCCATAGCAGTATGGCAAAACAGCATTAAAATCCACAATAGATCTGGATTGACACATTGTGCTAAGCCAGTGGTTCTAAACTGTTGATCCAGTTTCCCCTTTTCTTGGTGTCGAATAATGTTATGACCTCCCCCCAAAAAACAGATTTGGCAATGGTGATCCCACACTGGATCTTTGACTACAAACAAGGAATTACAAGTTTTCCATTATTCCCAAGATATGCCCAAATTACCCATTGAATAATTATTAACCCCAGTTAATAATAGTACTTATTTTAACCATGATTTGTTGAGTCAAAATGGCTGAATTTACTTTCAGTTTGAAGCCAGGATGAAACAACCCAGATCCTTGGGCTAGTACAGGTAGTCCTTGACTTATAACATTTCATTTAGTGACTGTTCAAAGTTACAACTTCACTGAAAAAAGTGACTTTTTCACACGACTGTTGCAGCCTCCCCATGGTCACATAATCAAAATTCAGATGTTTGGCAACTAACTTATATTTATGACAGTTTCAATGTCCTAGGACCATGTGATCAACGTTTGCAACCTGCTGACAAGCAAAGTCAATGGAGGAAGCCAGATTTATTTAACAACCATGTTACTAACTTAACAACTACAGTGATTCACTTAACAATGGCGGCAAGAAACGTAAAATAGGGCAAAACTCATTTAAGAACTGTCTTGCTTAGCAACAGAAATTTTGGGCTCAATTATGGTCGTAAATCAAGCATTTCCTGTAATATATGATCCATTGACGAGAGAGCCAGTGGTAGGTCATAGATAGATTCTTGGTAAATTGGGTGTGTAGTCTGATGGAAGAGAATTTTTGTATTATTGTTGGGTAGTTTGTAGGGTTGGTTTTTTTTCTAGATGAAGCTTTTTCCTATTTTTCAACTCCTTTTTCTCTTATCTTCCCAAATGTTTTATAGTGGTTGATCTTGTCTCATCAGATCTGGAGGAAATTGCCCAGAAGTATTCTTTATCATACAAGGTGAGTACAAGGAGTCTCTACAGATGATTATTACATATTTCACCACACAAAACGTTGCATAGTTCTGACTGATCAAGTCCTAATAAAACAAGAACAAATAAATATCCCCTGAGATTTCATTGTGATTGGAGGAATATTTATATTTGTTTTGTAGAACTTGAAAAAAAAAGAGAAACTCTTGAAATGATTTCTGTGATTGGTTTTATAAAGACTGATCTGTGAGGTGCTATTTAAGGGGTGCCCATCTTTAGGGCCATGAACATATTAGAGACTCAAAAGAGTAACCTGGGTTTATAAATACTATTTATAACATTTATACTGTGTAGCTGTTCATTTTATAACTAACTCTCTCAGAACTAAGCTTCATGAGGGGTTTAAGAGGGCCAATGATGATGCAATCAGCAAGGGTGGTCAATTGTGGCATATAAATATCATTGTCCACATGCTGTCTTTTGGTGTCATTACACTTTGCAGCTAATGCTCCTTGGCTAATCAGAAATTACTTGGGGATCTCTTTTCCCCTTCTGCATAATTTTACACGCAAAGGGATGGTTTGTTTCCTCTTCTTCCTTATACTCTAGTTCAGCGGTCCTCAACCTTTGTGGCTTGGCGGGCCGGCTGGGGGCAGGAGAGGAGAACTGGGCTGCAGCGGGCCAGCGCACATGCACATGCATGCCATCTTGTGCAAGTCAAGCTGCGTATGTGTGCGGTGGGCCGCTGCTCACGTGTGTCAAAGTGCCCGCATGTGCGTGTGCATTGGTCCACCGCTTGCGCAGCCTGGTTGCAAATAGGCCATGGCCTGGTAGTGAGCCATACCCTGGGGGTGGGGACCCCTGCTCTAGTTGATGTTCTGTCGCCCCTTTGACTCATTTCCTCCCTTCTCCCCTGTTGACCTTTCTAGCCCCCTGGTCTCATCCCCTAAGCTGCCCCCTAATTTCTGTTCTTGGCTCTCCTAATTTTTTTTTCCTTCAGTACCAGCTGGCTGTTGAGCAGTACAAACCTGACTTGTAGCTGCGGTGTTCTAGTCTGAGGTCTACATTATCTAGATCAGGGGTAGTCAACCTTGGCTCTTTTATGACTCGTGGACTTCAACTCCCAGAATTCCTGAGCCAGCTAAGCTAAGCTGGCTCAGGAATTCTGGGAATTGAAGTCCACGAGTGATAAAAGAGCCAAGGTTGACTACCCCTGATCTAGAGTAAACAGGGGAAAAAATTAATTAAAATGTTTGCTTTAATTAGGAGGGTAAGGGGTTTTGGTGGGCACAATGGAGAACAGTATCCCTAATGCTAATTGATAGGCCTTTTGTCTATCAAGCTGAGTGTTTCCCAATTGTGGCAACTTTCAGATGTGTGGACTTCAACTCCCAGAATTTTCAATAACAGCCATGCTGGCTGGAGAATTCTGGATACTGACAACCATACATCAGGAAGTTGCCACAGTTGACAAACCCCGCTCCAGCTGCTGGTTGTTTTGTCCCTTGTTGTTAATGCTAAAGCTGCAGATGGTAAGGGATTGATAATCTTCTGTTACAGACCTTAGTTGCAGTACGACGTGTGTTGCTGGCACAGTTTTCCTCCTTCCCAGTCAATGGGGCAGATCTCTATGAAGAGTTGAAGCACACCACAGCAATCTTGTCTACTGGAATTGAAAGGCAAGGGGTGATTAATCAGAACACTGTGTTTTGTTGAGGGGAACAAACTATCTAAAACAGACCTGCTCCATTAATTTTTAAGCTCACATATATAAGGGTTACACCACAGAGATGCAGGGGGCATTGTTCCACATCCTTGCAGGGCTAAGTAAAAGAGCAGTTTTCCATTGCTTTTTTTTAAAGCAGAATATAGCTGGTGGCTGTACTTTCACCATATATTTAATTACAGTTAACTAGACCACACTTTTACTTCACTCCATTTTTTATAAATCACGCTAGGTTAAAATGAAGTTCACTAACTTGTGCCTCACTCTGTGTATGGACCCCAGAAGTCCTTACATCTTCTGTATGGCTTCAGTTAGGCTTATTCCTAATTGAATAAGCCATAATTCAGTTGACTGGATAAGCAGTTCGTGCTATCTCAATCACTGTGTCAACTGTTATGATAGCACTGCTGTTAACTGAGGAGGGGGATAGGAATGGGCCAAGACATGGGCCACGTTCCTTAGGCTTCTTTCTCATAGTGTATTGTGAGAGCAAAAGCAGGGAAAGACAACCACTTATTCTATGAAAGATTAATGGGGAAGGAAAATGTATTGAATTTTAACTGAAGGTTACATGTGTGATCTTTATTCTTTTATATAGTATTTTTATTGAATGACTAAGCTGCCTAGAATTGTCTTGGCGAGATGGGTGGCATAGAAGTTTAATAAATAAATAGAAGCGCAATAGCAATAGCACTTAGATTTATATATTGCTTCACAGTGCTTTATAATCCCCATAGAGTCAACATATTGCCCCCAACAATCTGGGTCCTCATTTTACTGACTTCAGAAGGATGGAAGGCTGAGTCAACCTTGAGCCTTGAACTCTGACAATTGGCAGAAATAGCTTGAAATACTGCATTCTAACCACTGTGTCACCATGGCTCTTTGAAATAAAGTGTAAGAACAAAAGTAATTTACTGTTTTATAGCTGTCTATTCAATGATAGGTGTTTGAAAAATAATAATTTATTAAATTTATATGCCACCCGAGTCCCTGGAAGTCTGGGCATGTCGTGTTTAACCTATTTAATTAGACACAGCAGCTCAATTTAGATCTATAGTGAGCAGAAATTGAGAGTTAACAATCCCATGAATATAAGCATGCGCTTTAACTGGCAATACTTGGTTTTTCTATTAGAAGCATATCTCACCTTTCCTCCAGAAATTCAAGGTGATTTCAGGAAAGGCAGGTTATAAATCTAATGAATAAATAAATAGCCATATAACAACCAGGTGAGGGAAGTGAACTAAGAGATAATGACTGCCCTTAAATTGCCCAATTAATTTTCTGTGGTTGAGGAGTCTTTGAGTATGGATCCAAGTACATTAAACAGTATCTTGCCTGTTATGGATCAGTTCTCTGTCCAGAGCAACCATCCATTCAGCCCTAGTTTGCTGTAAGTTCTTTTCCCCTCTCTTAATATGGCAGAGGACAGTCTTCCCTTTCCCAATTGCTTGTAGAAAGATTGGCCCCCAATGAATAATCATTGTGGTTGGGAATGACAAGAGCTGTAGTCTGACATGTTTGAAAGCTTCTGGATTGAGCAGGGTTGGTGGGCAGATGAAAAACTGTGAAAACTGTGAGTTGCCAGGGATGAAACTGGCAATGTAGTCACTCTTTGGTTTGCTTTGCCCTCTTTATTTTGGGCAAGCAGCAAAATTGAATTTCTGATCCCAAATAGAGACCCTATTCTGGCTGCTCCTTTGTCCTTCAAGAGAGAAGACCCTGAAAGGGAGACATATGTGAAAAAGTGCAAGATGAAAACTGGGGTGCACATGTCCTAAAATTCTCATTCCCCCCCCCCTTTTGCTGTTATAGCTTGGACAAACTTCTTGACTCGGGTATATACACAGGGGAACTGACAGAACTTGTTGGAGCACCCAGTGCTGGAAAAACTCAGGTTGGCTGTCCTTGACATATTTGATTATTAAACAATTTGTCTGTTACCTTCTCATTGGACTTTAGATAGGATACAATCTTATAAAGGTGAAATGTGTATATTAACATGAGGAAAATTATGTTTTACTCAACCACCGTCAACTGTGGTGGACTCTCCTTTTCAAAGGCCCAACAAGAAATGACTTTTCTGTTTTTGACATTTGTTTTGCTTTATGCTAGCAAAATGCTTTTTGTAACACAGGTGTATATATCTAGGGAGCACTTGTACATTGCAACAAGCAAGATTATATGGGAGACGGATCCAACATTGCTACAAGTTGTCAAAGATATACTAGGTTCTCCCTCTAGGAGTTTTGTCAGTGGATATTGGTTTACCTTATATAAAAGGAGGAGGGCAGGATTTGAATCAATGAGTTCTATTCTTTAAGGCAGGGGTCTTCAAACTTGGCCCTTTTATGACTTGTGGACTTCAACTCCCTGAATTCCTCAGCTAGCATGCCTGGCTGAGGAATTCTGGGAGTTGAAGTCCACAAGTCATAAAAGGGCCATGTTTGAAGACCCCTGCTTTAAGGGGCCGAAATCCAGCTTTTTTTGCAGAGATGGGTTCGTCAGAAGATTGGCCTGTATGGTATTTTGAGCCTCAGGACAAGATAATACATTTCCACATAGGGAAGCTGATCAGACTGCCAGTGGCATTTTTATTATTAGAACCGGGGAAATTTTCTCTGCTGCACTTGAGGGCATTAAGTCCTCTATCAAACTGGAGAATGTGCTCCAATGGAAACCAGTTAAAGAAGGAGCTTTGTATATTTTAAAAATTTATGGTTGCCGCTGACTAGTTTCTTCCTCCCGAGACATAGATCAAAGAATTTTTCTGTGTGCCTGATTATTTAGCCAAGTTTTTCTGCAAGCGGCCTAATACGTTGATGTGTTGGGCGTAGGTATAGGTGTTTGTGGGTCATTCCACCCTCAGCTTGGTGTATTCCCAAACTGAGCTTGCCTACAAACACAACTTCATTATGACAATCAATTCCTGCCTCTTTAAAACGTGTCTGTTTTTTGGAGCCTTCTGAATGTGGAAACATGGCCTTGTAGCAAAATCCTTGATAATCAAAACCTTGATTGAAAATAGCAAAACCCTTGATTTTGGCAGACATTTTGGCACAGTTTCCAAAGCCATAGCAACTTATTTTCTCCCCCCTAATATAAATCCATTAGAACACCTGTTTTTTAATCACAAGGTCTCTTGGAGTAGTCTTTATGAGTTTTATCACAAGGGACAAGTCTCTACCAGTTGCGCCCCTTTCTGGATCGTGATGCTCTACGCACGGTCACTCAAGCCCTCGTTGTTTCCCGCCTGGACTATTGCAACGCTCTCTACATGGGGCTCCCCTTGAGGTGCACCTGGAGGCTCCAGCTAGTTCAGAATGTGGCCGCGGGGGGGATTCTGGGGGCCCCTAGATACTCCCATGTAATACCTCTCCTGCGCGAGCTGCACTGGCTGCCTGTGGCCTTCCGGGTGCACTTCAAGGTGTTAGTAACAACCTTTAAAGCGCTCCATGGCAATGGACCTAGGTATTTGCAAGACCGCCTTCTACCAAACACCTCCCTCCGACCAGTCCGCTCCCACAGAGAGGGCCTCCTTAGGGTGCCGTCGGCCAGTCAATGCTGGCTGGCGACCCCCAGGGGGAGAGCCTTCTCTGTGGCAGCTCCTGCCCTCTGGAATAACCTACCCCCCCGACCTACGTACAGTTGCGGACCTGGGCCTTTTTCGCTGAGCCCTGAAAACCATTTATTCCGGGCGGCCGGCCTGGCGTAGCTTTAATTATGTTTTAGTAAAGGTTTTATATAGGGTATTTTAGAGCAGGCCTTTTATTTAATTTGATTTTAGAATAGAAATTTGAGTATATTTATTGTGATTTTTATCATCGCCTGTCCACCGCCCTGAGTCCCGTGAGGGAGATAGAGCGGTATACAAATTCAAATAAATAAATAAATAAATACCTCTGGGTTTATAATATCAGCTATCGCTGACCTGCTGTCTGTAGATATGTTGTATTTGGATTCCTGGAATTCTGTGCAATGAATCTTCAGGCATCAGATATGGACTGTGAAGGTGAAACACAAAAGAATGGGGAAGAAAGAGAGGAAAGCAGCAAAACAAGGTGGCTGCCTTTTAAAATTAAACCTTGCTCACATATCATGCTAAGCTATCCATAGTTTTATGGGTTCCTATATCATCATAAGCCAAAACCAAAGCAAGCCACATTATGATGTTCCTATAATTACTGGCTTCAGTGGGGTCTATTCAGGAAGGGAAAAGCACAATGATTGCTTTTGCTTTTTGGAGGGGTGTCATTGTAGTGGAACTTTTTCCTATCCATGTGTAAATTGTCTGAGGAGTGAGTAACTTCCAACCCAAAGTTTTTTTCTCCTTGACTAAGCAGCCTGTCTAAGTATTAGTCCAAGTGTAGTAAAAAATTAACTGTGTGGTTTTACTTCTAAGGAGGAGAACAATGGTTTTCCTTGTTAAGAAAACAAATTGCTTATGAAGAAAAATAGCATATAGCAAAAAAGCACCCATTATGTCTTTATTTAACGATGCGTGTATGTGCCTTAGAAAAACTTCCTTTCTGCTTGAAAATTTGGAGAAAGAGGCTATTTTCTAACCAGGTGCTCACCCCTGGGGAATTTTTACAAGACCCACTCAGCTAAATATATTGGATAATATATTGAATAAATATATTCCTCCATTCTCCTCCTCCTCCTCCTGCTTGGATGCAGACTCATTTTGCTTCCATTTGTATGCAACTTGGTATTCTAGCTTTGTGGCTTATCATGCTATCTGAACTCCAAATAACTGCCATTTCATGCTCCCCAAATTCAAGATTCATCACCTGTGGACAAATCTTGAGAGTTGAAGTCACAGTTTGCGATTTGCCGGCTTTTCCCAAACTTTTGGAAGGCAGGCTACAAAAGGCTGCCTTCGTGCATCCTAATTTCAGAAATCACATATGAGTCTTAAGCTCTGCCTCTTGTTGTGTCTCTAGGTGTGCCTCATTGTAGCTGCAACTGTATCCCATAGTCTCAAGCAGACGGTCCTGTACATTGACTCGACTGGGGGCTTCACCAGTGCCCGTCTCCTGGAGCTACTGAATTGCTTAACTGAGGATGAGGAGGAGCAGGTCAGCTGAGCAGGAAGTACTTGTTGTGGGGTGTTGGTACCTAGAAGAGTATCTTCAATCTCTTAAGTTCACTGGCCAAATAAAGAAGCACTGAAATAAAGAAATATTCTCTCAGCTGGGATGTATAATACAAGTAATTCTCAACTTAACAACAGTTTATTTAGTGACTGTTCAAAGTTACTACGGCACTGAAAAAATATGACTATTTTTCACATTTACGACCATTGCAGCATCCCTGTGATTACATGATCAAAATTCAAATGCTTGGCAACTGACACATATGTATGACGGTTGCTGTGTCCCAAGGACATGTGATCACCTTTTGCAATCTTCTGACGAGCAAAGTCTCTCCCTCCCTCCCTCCCCATCTTTTAACAATATTTTATCCTGATTGGGATTTCTATTTTTACTCTTTTAAAGATATTTCTGTGTTAGGATTTTAATGCTTTAAAGCTGGAAGCTGCCCAAAGTCGTTCGCTATGAGACGGGTGGCAAATAAATTCAATAAATAATTAATTAATAAATAAAGTCCGTGGGGAACCCAGATTCATTTAACAACCTTGTTACTAACTCAACAGCTTCCACTCCCAGAATTCCCAAGCAGCATGCCCACAGTTCTTAAAGTTGCTGAGCTTAAAAGAACACTGTTCTAAGCTGTAATAGGATGCTAACTACTAAATACTGGAGGAGTAGGTCATTATCTGGAATAAAAGATAAGAATAAAAGAGACCCAGTTCAGCTGCAACCGTTTGAAATTGTGATGGTGTTGAACGAAGAGACTTGCAACCTGGGTCTGAAGTTATAGCCGTTGCAGTGCCGCTGTGGTTACTTGATCAAAATTTGGATGCTTGGAAATCCGCCGACAGTTAAACCACAGGGGCACACTATCTAGGCCCAGCTGCCCTATCTCTTCCCCCATCTCAGCCACTCATTTGCCCCACTTGTGTATGAAAAGCTGCTGCAGCCCAGAGGCCTCTGTCTGCTCCCAGCCCACCAGGCCCAGGAGGCTTCGACCAGTTACAGGGCCCACCGGTGTGTGCAGTACATCCTACTTATCTTTGTGGGTATTTTGTAGCTGCTGACAGGCCTGCCCAGGCTATTCATGGCAGGGCCTTCCGAATGAGGTTGCCTTGTGCCATTCTGCAAACAAGCACCATCCTTGTGATGATTCCGAAGCTTTGCTCTCAAAAATCGCATGATTTAGTGAAAGGCTTCCAAACTATTACCAGAATGGAGCTTATCTCACAGTGCTTCGAAGCCTCCTTCTGCCAGCACTGAAAGGCTGAGTGTTAGAATGGTGTAATTGTTAAAGGACTTTGTCACGAAGCAAATACTACAGTTCTGAGTTTGAATTTCATCTCTGCCAAGGTGGAGCCTTTTCCAATCTGGTGCTCTTTGAATGCCTTGAACTGCAATTCTATACAACAAAGATGTATTGATTTGATGGGGATTATGAGAATTGTAATTCAGTCCTTTTAGAAGGCACAATATTGGAGAGCAAAGTCGTAGGTTAATCAATACCCCATAGGCTTCAAAGTCCTCCCCCACCCCTAAACCATGCTGGATTTTTTTTATTTTTAATCCCAATAGAGCTCTAGATGGGCAAGTCTAACTTAAACATTTACTGATACTAGGTACTTAATAGGTATTTGATTTTGAGTCTTCAAAAGCAATGTTATATTAATGTATAGCATTAAGATGGTTCTTCTATTGAAGAATGTTGAGCCTCTGGGCATCTCCAGAAGGATATAAGAAAAGTCAAAATAGTGGGGTGAGGCTTTGATCACATGATTGTGGCTACTCTCATGTTTTTTTTACCCTTATCCTGTGAGCATGCAAACCTGACAGGGACATCCATGATGTGTTACCTTACCCTGTTCCTTACCCCATTACCCTGTAGGCTGAGGCATTGCGGAGGATCCAGGTTTTTCGTACTTTTGATGCCTACAAAATGCTTGATGTGCTGCAGGAAGTCCGCAGTTATATGGCCCAGCAGGTGGGTGCTAAATGATCTCCGCAATGCTTGCTGTTTGTGGATTTATCAGAATACAGGGGTGCCAGAAGAGTGAGGAGGGCAGGGTGGATAACATTTGTTTAGACCAAGAGCCAGCCTGGCTTTTGAGTGGTATGATGGGGGATTGTACACCAAAAATAAGTAAGGCTAAAATAAGATTTAAAGTTAATCAAGTTTCAGTTTGATTTAACATTAAACTAAATCAGTGAAGTACAGTTCACGTGTATACTTCTACCTACTTAATATTTTTCTTTTTGTGAGATGGGCAGCTATATAAATTGGATTATTAAATTCTGCCTTTTTTTTAACCTTCAAAATGAAACTTTTGGAGGATATTTCAAGTTGTGTTCCCTGTTTTAAAAAGGCTGGATGGTCATGCTGGCCATTATCCTGTTTAATGTTTGATCAGGGAAATCTGAAGAGAAGGGGAATGGACTATGTGACCATGGTCTTACTTTATCGCACTTTGCGGCTGCACAACGAGGGTCACCAGCAGGTGAGCTGGCCTTTAGATCTGCCTGGACAGGCAAGAGATTTGAGGCTGGAGGAAGGGGATAAAGATAATACACAAAAGAGCAAAGCTAGTATTATATGGTTCCCTGATTGACTTAATCCCTTTTACTGGGACTCAAACCTCTATTTTTCCTTTTCTATTCAGAATATTGCTTTTCACCATTAAAGTAACTGGGAAGACTAGAGTCACTCAGTCTGGTCTAACTTTTTCAGTTGCAGCAGACATGCAGGATGGAGTCAACAATTAAATGGCTAGAGACGGCAACAGACATTGTTATCTCTAGCCATTTAATTTTTGACTCCATCTTTTCCAACTTGATGTGAACTTTCCAGTGATTCTCTGGACCACTTTTATCAGGCAGTGAAATAAATCCTGCACAGTGTTCTGCATTCAACCAATGTTCATGCTTTTTCTAAGCTCTTCCTCCTCGGGTTGAGAGGTCATTTCTCAGATGAATGGACTGGAATTCTGGTATCTAGCACATTCATAACTGCCTTTCTCAATCCCAGCAACTAGACCTAAAAACTGCATTTTTGCTCGGTTGTTCCTCACATTTCTTTCTTAGTATTTTGTAAATCAAAATAGAAATTGTACATACCTGTAAATAAAAATCAATGTTATTTATTGGACTCTGCATTGTCCTCCGGTGTTTATAACTTGACTGGTAGTATCACATACTAAGTTGAATCTTCAGTCAGAGGTCCTTTCTCATCCCTTCTTTGGCTTCCCATCAGTCTTAACCTTTTCCTAGCTAACCTAAAGATAATCTCCTGGTGTAACAGATCTTTTACCTTTGGCGGGTATATGGGTATCACTTAACAGCTAGCATAAGAGGAGGGAGAAATGGGAGTTTGCTATCACATTTGAAATAATTGGAGAAAACTGATGGTGGACTGAAGGATCTAGCATTGAATACACCTTGCAGGCAAGTGTTCTAAATGGATTTTTAAGAGGACAGCTGTGCAGGCAGAACCGTCTTGAACATCCAGGACCTAAAATAATAATAATCTAATAGTGACTACCTAATCATTCCCTTCTCCATCCTACTAGCCAACCCCTTTCCTTTCCTAGCCCATTATAGTGAATCCCCACCACAACCTCACCATTCCATTTAGCTTTTTTCTGCTCTCCCAAATTCCTGAAGACGGCTATGATTTCAGATCTACTCAATATAATTAAAATAGGCAAACTCCCAGCCTATTCAGATGCCTTTGATCTAAGACTAGTATTTCCTGGTGCAGAATTTAGGCATAGATAACATATGGGACATGTGAACCCATGGCTTTAAGCTATAAGCAAAGTTGAGTTTTTGAATGTTTCATCTTCCCCATCTACTCTCCTATTCTAAGGAAAGGTACCCATTGGCTTTTTGTAATTTCTGATTTGTATTTGTAATTTTATTTTATTTACATTTTGCTTTTATTATTGTTTTTTAAGATACTCAGCACCTCTGGACCAGTAAAGCTACTTATTGTGGATTCCATTTCTGCTGTAATTTGCCCTTTCTTGGGACTTCGGCAGCCCGATGGTCAGTTGTGTACATCTATCATCACAGAGAATGTTTCTTAATATGCTTCATTAATGGTCCTATTGTTTTGCAGTATCATATCCTAGATGAGTCCATAGTTTAAAGCAGGCGTATCTAACCTTGGCAACTGTAAGACCTATGGACTTCAACTCCCAGAATTCCCTTCTAGAACTTGAAGTCCACAAGTCCTAAAGTTGCCAAAGTTGGACACCCTGGCGTAAAGAATTAAAAATATAACATTTTGAAACATGGAGGACAATAGAGAGATTAACAAGGCTAAGAGAAGTAAGATCACACAGGTTCCCTGATGACATTCGGTGTGACAATCTATTTTCTGCATGTTCAAAGTTCTGTAGCAATAAAGTTTCATATGAATGAAGTAGAGAAGTATGAACGTAAAAGTATAGTACACAAAGATCAGAAAAGACCACACTACAATATTTAAGGTTCCTTGTTGCGGTTTGTTGTTGTTCAGTTGCTAAGTCATGTCCGACTCTTTGCGATCCCATGGACCATAACACGCTAGGCCCCCTCCTGTACTTCATGTCTCCTGAAGCCTACTCAAATTCATGTTCATTATATTGATGACACAATTTAACCATCTTATGCTCTGCTGTCCTCTTCTCCTTTTGCCTTCAGTCTTTCCCAACATCAGAGTCTTTTCCAATGAATCTTCTCTTCTTATTTGGTGGCCAAAGTATTTGAACTTCAGCTTCAGTATCTATTCTTTCAAAGAATAGGATTAATTTCCTTTAGAAGAGATTCCTTATGGCAGGGGTCACCAACCTATGGTCTGCGGCTCGGGACTGGGCTGTGGGCTCTTGGCCAGCGGGCTGCGGAAATGGCTGGCTGGTGTGCGCACGTGTGGGTGTGCATTTCCCCCCCACTCACGCTAGTGCCTGTAACCCTGTTTGTGCATGCATGCGGGCGCGAACGGGAATGCTAGCGCGTGGGGGGTGTCCGTAGCCCGTATGCGCATATACCACTAGTCCGGGTGGTTTGCGTGGCCCATTTGCATAAATCTGAAATCAGAGAGCTAGCTGTTCCTAGCTCATACAATTTTGAAAGGCTTCTCCAGCATGGATGTGATACTGAAAGTTTTTGTTGTTACTGTCCTGCTAGGTGGGTGTATATTTTGGGGCAACCCCCAGAGTCTAGGGGAAATACAATGAATAAAGAGAATTGTATAGCTTTAAGCGTGGTGGTCTCTCATTCTCCCTTCGTAGGCATGGCCCTCATGATGCATTTGGCTAGGGAGATGAAAACCCTTGCCAAAGAATTCGGGATTGCCATATTGGTAAGTATGTGGACCAGGCTTTTACTTATGCTTGCTTTTGGCTTTATGTGTGCATGAGTGCTGTAGTTCTGCTCCTCTAGTGTGAGCTAGATCAGCTAACACACTAAGTCTGCTACCATTGCCTGGCCTTTTATTCTAAAATAAGTTTAATCTAAAAATGGGAGGGGGTATCACTTGGATTTAGTAAAGCAAAGCATCAGCCTCCAGCATTACCTTTTACTTTTAAGATTGTTTTTTTTAAATGGGCTCCATAAACCTTTTAGAATACAGGTGGTCCTCACCTGATGACTGTAGTAATGGTAAAGCTAACTATCTGTTATCTTTTAGTTGACAAATCATGTGACCAGAGATGCTGGCGGTGGTTTTAAACCAGCACTGGGTCGCTCGTGGAGTTTCATACCTAACACTCGGCTGCTGCTGGAGAAGAGAAAAGACAATTGTGAGAAAGCAGGTCGAGTCGCATCTTTGATGAAATCTTCTCGACAGGTGAAAACGTGAAACAGATGTCTCTACTGTGGCCTCCATATATCAAACTTCTCTAACTTAGTGATGTTCAATTGTGTTGGAAATACATCTCTCAGAATTCCTTGCCAATATAGCCAAAGGCAGTCATTTATCAACAATGTAACCTAATAGTTAGGAAGTAGGATGGAAAACTTTATTGCACAGGAATAAATATGAGACCCGGGCTCGTTCATAATAGTTATCTTTCTTATTAAACACATTCAAGTCCCTTCCCCCATTCCCAGGAAAAATAGCTTTCCCCAAATTTGGCACCTCTGAAAGAGCTGGACTATAGTAATAGTCCAGCTCATCCAACTATAATGGACTGCATAATTCTTAGCCATCATGTTTACTAACAACTCCCCTCAGTCTCAAGCTGCATGGCCAAGTCACATGTTTGCTGAGCATAATGAATATTGTAGTCCATAGTTCTGGAAGGCACCAAAATTAAAGAAGGGTTAGCAGAGTTTTAGAGGTGCAGAAGGGCTGTGCAGACTTATTATGTGGGCACACTTTAATGCAGTAGTAGACATGGCAGCACTCACTGCTTTTGTATGAATGTGACAACATTTGTCAGTTGTTGGTGCTGGCTGGAGCTGATGGGAGACACTCTAGAAATAGAACACTAAGGAAGGCTAATTATTAGTACTATTAAGAAATGGGATTATGTCAAGAACTGAATTAAGAAAGAAGCACAGATGAAAAGATAGGAACAATTGCAATTTGTCAGGGACTTTGACTTTGCTCTAAGAGCCACAGCTAATTTGTGGTTTTGGATTCTGAGCAGAAAACATACCCTGCCTGTCCTTCATATTGATAGGCCTGTAATTTTAATTTAATTTTCAAGCATAACTCAGGAAGGGACAGGAAGCATGGAAAGGTTAATTGTCTTAGAGTAATGGAGTTTTGATACATATGGGCATTTTCACAAAATAGTTCCTGTTTTAGTAAAAAAAAAAAAACCCCACTACATTTTCTAGTTTCTTTGTTTACAGTACTTGGGTGGGAGGGGACTTTTCTAAATAAAGCTCTAGATTAACGGCTCAATATTTTATTTTATAAGAATGGATATATGGCCTTTATTTACAGAGCCAATCCTGTAAATAGATAACACCTGAGTTCAAAATTTTGCTTTTCAGGTTGTAGGAGTCTCATTTAAAGTTTAACTGAATGATTAATAAAGCGGGATGAGGCAGAGAATTGGAGCTATTCCATGGGAAGTATATGTGAGAATATCGGTGCCTAGTGAACAAATTCAGAAGGCATGTCTCTGACTGAAAAACTTAGAGATAAAGTTGGCCTTCCCTTAAGTAAGTTTAGAGCAGTGTTTCTCAACCTTGACACTTTTAAGGCATGTGGACTTCAACTCCCAGAATTCCACAGCCAGCATTGCTGGCTGTGGAATTCTGGGAGTTGAAGTCCACATGCCTTAAAATTGTCAAGGTTGAGAAACACTGGTTTAGAGGGCTAGACAGAATGTTTCCATCCCAGGATGGGCAGTTTGAGTGACCCAAATGTGGCTGCAAGTATTGCTCATTTGGATTTGGAGTGTTCCAAGATAAGATTGCCTTTAGAACACATGTAATGGCTTGTTTTGGGAAGAGAATTTTTTGTCATAAAACATGTTATCTGTCTCTATCAGATACCGTAGTACAAATCCTAAGAAGGATTAGCCTGCACGACTGTTTTTTCTCTAAATTTAGGCCATACATCTGCAGCCCTGGATAGTATTCTGGTAACACACTGATCTGAAAACTTCCAAAGTGTGCTTCTCTCAAACCACTGTTGAACACTTAGCTCATTGCTTATCAGAGAAAAGCTGTATAGAAATTAATTAATGGATAGTCTTGTAACTTCTACTAATAGAGACTTGTAGTTACAGGTAGTCCTTGATTTACAACCACAATTGTGGGGGGACTGGAACTTCCATCGTTAAATGATATGGCTGTTCAGTGAGTTGTGTCTGATTTTATTATCTTTTTTTTTTTTGCTTTTATCACTTAGCAAATTGCTGTTGCAGTTGTTAAATGAATCATACATTCATTAATTGAATCCAGCTTCCCCAATTGACTTTGATTGATGGAAGATCCCTGGGAAGGTTGCGATCATGTGATCCCGGGATGCTGCAACCATCATAAATACATCCTAGATACAAAAAGCACCTGAATTTCAATCTCATGACTGCAAGGACACTGTAATGGTCATATGTGTGAGGTCATGTCACTTTTTCCAGTGCCGTTATAACTTCAGTTGCTGAATGAATGGTTGTAAATCACAACTACTTTGATAGGCTTTCCTGCTACCATGTTTCCCCGAAAATAAGACCATGTCTTTTTTTCCCCTCCAAAAGAGACACCAGGTCTTATTTTTTTTGGGGGGGGGTGTCTTTTATACTCACCTCTAGCATCGACAGCTCTGTCCTGCCAGTCTACCTCTTCTGCGGCTGAAGGAGCAGCTTCATTCTGTAGCTGCATTCCGGCCTGCATTTTGCAGTTAGGCCTCTTCAGCTGAGTACCGAGCTATGCATTCAGTCGGTTCTCAGCAGAAGAAGTGGGCTGTCAAGGAGAGGCCTGGCTGCAAGGTAAGTGGATGTGGGGCGTCTGGAACAGCTCCACCCTCCCCACCCCCGCCCTAGCTTGATTTTTAGGTGTGTGCCTCACCCCAAAACTAGGGCTTATTTTGGGGGTAGGGCTTATATTAGGCCCACCCCCCCAAAAAAATCAAGCTAGGGCTTATTTTCAGGGTAGGTCTTACTTTTGGGGAAACACGGTAAGTACTTGTATTGGGATTCTCACAGTGTTCTTCTATTTTACAGCCTTTTGGAGTTCAGGCGGAATTAGACCTGAGGAACTGGGAAATGAAAAAAGGAAGTCCAGTCACATCAGGCAAGGGACTAAATGATGGCATGGGCATGGCTTCCTGATCCACAATTGGCTTTCCTGAACATTGCAGAAGGTCTGAAAATGTAAAGAACACTTCAGTTTTTAGAGGAATGGAAAATAAAAACCAGTATCAGCCTTCTCCAAACAGAATCTGCCTCCCCGATTTATTGGATTTCAACTCCCGAAATCCCGAAAGAACATGATCTACAATCGGAGATGATCTGAAGTCGAAAACCTTTGGAGGACTCAGATCCTTTGGTTGGGACTCTCATATTGTGTTGGTTAATGAAGGAAATGTGCATTAGATTAACTAAAGTCAGGGGTCACTTTTCACCACTTGCAGTTTTTGTAGATAAATGTACAGTTTGTCAATAATAAAGAGATATCGAATGGAATTGTTTATCCAAAGGAGCTTCCATGTTCTTTGTATTGCTACAATGTATTGACATCCTGATCTTTGCTATGTGAAATGGACGTGAAACTGCACTGCATTGATTTTTCTTAACAAATCAAGCAAGTTTGTCATTCTATAAGCCATTAAAAAGGTAGAAATATACATCAAATGATTTCTCGGGGTTCTTGTAGATGCTTTGTATAACAGGTTAGTTGAGGAACCAGAACTCTACTTCTAGTGATGAGCACATTGCCTTTTAGATATTTGAGACTTCAGTTGGTATTGGCCCCAATCCACTTTATTCTTGGTTTATACAATGGAATGGTTTTTCATATAAAAATATTAATAACATGTAGGGGAGTGTAGCTAGCCGCTGATGAGAATGCCATGTTCAGTTCTCTGTTCTTCCCTCCATCTAGCTATTTTTTATTAATATATAACCAGTTTATCTTTCTAAATATCTTATCAAATAGAAAGAAAATTTAAACAGAATGTTAAGGAAGAAGACTGCGCAAAAGGAAGGGGATCAAAACTTATTTGAAAGACCTGAAGACAGTTGAGGGAATACCTTTTCCCAGCAGTGAAGAAGCTGAATTTCTTCATATGTTTTTAGCCTCCAGCCCCTTAATCATATTTGTTGCTCTTCTCTCCACTCAACATCTTTTTTATATTGTGGCGACCAAAACTGGATGTAGTATTCCAAATGTGATCTTACAGGGCATTATAAAGCGGTACTAACACTTCACATGATCTTGATTCTGTCCCTCTGTTAATGCAGACTTTTTGGTTGCTGCAGCACCCTGCTGGCTCATATTTAAGTGATTGTCCACTAGGATTTCAAGATTCTTTTTGCAGCTACTGGTGTTGAGCCAGGTTTCACCTTATCTGTACCTGTACATTTGGTTTTTCTTGCCTAAGTGTAAAACCTTATTTTTCTCTACATTAAATTTAATTTTGTTAGATAGGGTCAAGTCTGTTAATATCCTTCTGGGGTCTTGGCTATTCTTGCCAGCTTGATGTCATCCAGAGCTGTGGAGTCGGAGTCGAGGAGTCGGAGTCAGAGGAAATTTTGGGTACCTGGAGTCGGAGTCGGAGTCGGCAAACAATGCACT